GGGTCCTGGCTGCCGCGGGCCCCACCCGCTGGGGGTTCTCTGGCGGCGCGGGCGGGGGCGGCACGCGGGGCGACCCCTGTGCCACCCCCGCCGCCCGTGAGGCTGCCCTCCCGCAGGTTGTGGCGGCGCTCGTAGAGCGCCAGCTCCCTGCGCGCCATCTCCAGGCGCTCCCTCTTGGCCTTGTTCCGCGCCTTCTTGCTGTAGCCCGCCCACTCTGGGTCGTTCAGTCCCCAGGCGACCTGCGCGTAGAGGTCGGCCCACTTGAACTCGGTCAGGCTCTCCCAGGAGAGCCCCTCCATCAGCGCATAGTGGCCCCCCCACTGTGGCTGGTGTGGAGCGTGGCGCTTGAAGACGGTGCCCGCCGCCAGCGGCTCGACCTTGGGCAGGTACTTAAGGAGGTCCACCGCACTGGACATTGGCATCTCCTCCCTCTTGAGCTTGTCGTATCGCAACAGGGCCTTCAAGTCACGGGCGCCCTCCTCGGGGTGCTCCGCGTGCATGTAGTACGCACGTGGCGGGTTCAATTCTTCCTCTATGAACTCGATGCAGACGCCGTAGGAGGTCGAGCAGCGCGCACCGCAGTGGCAGTACCAGCGCTGGCCCGTCTCCCCCGCCGCCTCCTGTGCGCAGGAGAACAGCTGTGACCAGCGATCCGACCGGATCACCGAGCAGCATCCCGTGGGATTGTCCCAGGTCTTGTTGGCCGGGCACTTGTAGTACATGCTGAACGTGAAGCCCTTGCCACGGTAGAACTGGTCCGTGTAGTCGCCCATGCGGCGGCAGGCCCCCCGCGCCGCGGTGCTGCCCTGGCACCCCTCCTTCCAGGCACGTTTGTGTCCCAGGTGTGCGTCCGCAATCCCCGAGGCTTCCAGGAGGCCTTCTTCAGCCTTCCCACATCCTCCTCTGCCTCCTCATTCAGCGCGTCGGGCCACTTCTGGACCCCGTCCTGCGCCTCCGTGCCCCTCACCATGTCCCCCTTCTTCTCCAGGATGGGCCCCAGGCCTCCCAGCATGTGGGCGCGCATGGTCTCGAATCTGAGGACGCCATAGGCCCGCGCCATACGCTTCAGCGATTTCTTGGAGAGGCCGAGCCGCAGCAGGGGCTCGATGTCCGTGACCTCTTCCACGGTCTTGACGTCGGTCAGCTGGTGCTCCTGGCCCTCAGCATCGATGTTGGGCTGGGGGTCGCTTTCTTCGTCACGGGGAGGTTCTTCCTCGAGGGGCGGGGGTGGCGCACGGGGCGGCCCTGGCACCACCCCCACCTCCCTCGCCATCGGGCGACCAACCTCCGCCACTGCTTCCGTGGCTGGGGGGGCGCCCGTGCTCTCGGGGTCGATGCCCGCCCCCGCGCCCTCTGTTCACCTCCGCAGGGCAGGCAAGCCTTCCTCGGAGAGCGCGAATCCCACCAGCACGCCCATGCCCTCCTTGATGTAGTCGAAACTCGCACGGAACTTCGCCACTCGCTTGGCGGCGTGGTCGATGGAGCCTGGGCCCTTGTTCGCGCGCGCTGCGCGCGTCACGGCCTCGTGCTCGGCGGTGTTCTGCGTCGCCGCCACGCGGCGCGATCGCGTGTACAGCTTGCACTGCCCCTCTTTGC